GCGGCATGCTTGAGTGCGTTTGCACCGAAAGTCATGTGATGATTCAAAACCACGTGATTGAAATCATGTGAGACGTCTTGAAATTCCGCCAAGTCATGGGAATTCGAATTGATTGGGAAAGGTCGCGAAAATATCTTGAATTGGAAATTAATAAACAGTTTTTGTCTGAATTGGACTGAAATTATCGGTTTGTCGCACAAAATTAAAAATAAATTATAGGCGAGCATCGGTTGTATATTATACAACACTCCACAAGATATTCTTGCCTTCTCTACGAATAAAGCTTTAAACAAGCGATCACTGGTATGATCATACTATGTTATAGAATATTGCAGACTATCTGCACATTCAATTAGCGATTTGATCTAAATATCCATCCCAATTCCTTACTTGCTGCCTATAAGATAAGATAATCTATTGGAAAAAATATTCGTATGTCGAATTGGACTATATATAATCATTACTATTTCTAACTTACTGTCTACACATGGAAACCCAAAAGCCTTCCACGTAAACATCACTTTAAATATTGATCGACACCATAAATTCATCCATATTCGAAACCCGCTGTCTATATTCAAGCTCATCAATTTTCTACGAAGAAGAAAATTGAAATGGAGAGTGACAGTCTTATCAAAATTGAGAAAAAAAGTTGAAAAACATTAAAGCAATAAAACAATTATTGGCACCTATTACTAGTAATCCCCAATTAAGTCAAAATTCCTTTTCCGCACTTGGTATCGGGCCGCTATGTGCCATCGTGACAAACAGTTCGGAAAAGTCATTTCCGATCAAAATGTGCTTGCTTGTCCTACATAGTTCCAATGCTAAAGTTTTCTTGTAAGAACGTAAGCTTTTCGGAATTCATTTACTTTTACAATAACTGGGCATTTCTTTATTCAAATCATATGGCAAGCACTAACAAAAATCTATTTCCGACACTCAGCAAGGCAAATTTAAATTCACTCGTGTGTTACAGATATTTCAATGGTATCGGGCCGCTATGTGCCATCGTGACAAACAGTTCGGAAAAGTCATTTCCGATCAAAATGACTTAATCATATTTTCTCGTGACAAGCAAATAAAGCTATTGATCAAGAATTTTGGCTTGGAATTTGACGCAATTTTTGATTTTTTAAATACGTAATGGCGTGTCTATGCAAGATTCCATTTCAAGTTCTGTTCAAAATTGTCATGAGTTTCTTAAAATACAAACAGATCTTATACTTGGTAATGGACTAGCACATAACGTTATTGATCACAAATTTTGACCAGTAAGGTCTTGAACATGTATCCCGTCTCTGTTACACTGTTTAATTATTATGCAGATACTGTTACATTTTTGAGGCAAATAAACATACATACATTTTGACGAAAATTTAGAATTTAATTCTTTAATTTTAATAACATAATGCCTGACTTATTTTCATTTTGAAAAGATAAATTTAAAAAATTTGATTCAATTTCAATGTTTTTTTTTATTTAACAAAAAATTCCTAGTAGTCATAGCAGAAAACCCCCAAAAAAAAATTATTTTAAAATTTCCTATTGACTTACAGAAATATTATTTTATACACAATTGTGACCTGGTATCTGACGCACACTTTGAAACTGAACAAAGCTTCGGACCAGTGATTACCCGACACCCCCCACACTATAATTTGAGTATTTTGAAATTCTTAAATTTGGAAACACTCCCCCCCCCCCCCCTTGAAATTAAAATCTGGGGAACATACTGCTACGGACTCGCAATTGTATTATATCGTTGTAATAAAATTCCACATTTCAATGGCCCAAAATTGGTGAATTTTGAGATATCTCTTTCTAATTCTCGAAATTTTCTTTTTATGAAGCTGTACGAATTAATTTAAATATTGTGTCACTAAATAAAATTTTTGTTACGCTACTATCTACCATCGCATCGCCGCTCAATTACAATATTGAATAATATTATTGTCGTCTGCTTGTTGTTTACATGTTCTGTTACGTCATAATCGTTTATAATTTCGAAAACAATTTCATTCGGCAAGTCTGATGCAATGTTACAGCAACATTAACCAGGAGTATTATAGGAAAGATATGCGTGCAGTTTAATAGTAGTGACATGTTACAGTTTATAACAGCTTAGCTAAGAAAGTTTGAACCTCAGGCGATGTTACGGACGCGTCATACAACGGCAAAATCGTAAATAAATTTTAGTTTCTTTTGTAACGTTACATCACCATAAAATAGGATATTTGTTCAAAACAATGCGACTTGCTCAAAGCTAGGTCACTTGCACTCAATAAAAAGTGAATTAGACTCATCTACAGAATTAATTCACGTAACCGCTGGTCGGTTAAGGCTTATTTACCTCCATATTGGTACACATACTTCAGAAGCGCCAAATTGACAGCTTATCCGAAGCAATTTTAGATCGGATTGTACTATCAGTACATTCATCTTTATATCGGGAAAAAGAAATCCGAGTCACAGATAGGCTTTCTGTGGCATTTTCGAAGAAGATTCATTATTCTTGCAAGTGGTAAGCAGGCAACTACTGTCCACTTCAATGTTTCTCAATTTTTTTTGTCCCGAGATACCGACGCTCAGTCCGCGAGGCCTGTCCGCTTGTTTGTCGTCATTTGGGAAACAAATCTCAAACACAGAAGCGGTGGAGTACGATCGAGATTGCCATGGCGGCCAATTCAGTCGTAACTTCGATTCCGGTCCCGCGTAACACTCCGAAGAAGCTCGCGGAACATGATTTGATTACGCTGGTCTACTCTATATACAGCAGCACTTCCTTGTATCTAACGATCTGGTCTGCGTTTACTCTACTATTTGATTATGAAAAATATGGCAACACTCATAACACGATCAGTGCTCCATTCAGAACAAGCCTGCATTGGCCACGCCTACTTTATGTCATTAACCAATCACCACAAACATGCTTAAGAACGCTCTGGAATGATTTAAAAAGGAAAATGAATTGCAAGTCGTGACATCTCAAGAATTGGTTTACTCCCACGTATGCATGACTAAGCGATAATTCCACACGGAAGAGCTTCCTGCTTAGTCATTAATCTTAGGTTAACTAAATGTCGACAATGTTTCGAGTGTGATGGGAAAATTATTAATATAATTGAGACACGTATAATTAAAAAAATTCAGTTTTTTCAATTCGTATTTCGGTGCCAAAATGATTGTGATTCTGCCAAAATGTTCGCATTTGTCATATAAAAATGTTTCCATGAATTAGAACACTGGTTCGCAACCAGTGGGCCATGGCCCCCTGTTGGGCCACAGTAATATTTTGAGGCGGGCCACAGAACTGCGCCAGTTTTATTTGGGTCACAATAGAAATCAATGACGATGATGTTGTCTGCTACTGAGATATAATTCTCATTCAAATTATGAACGTTTAAGTGTCCATTTTCACAGAAAGATCTTGTTTTTTTTTAGTTTTCTCCTTTCAATAAAAAGTTAATGGGCCACAAGACTTTTTGTGCAACAAAAATGGGCCACGAACGAAAAAATGTTGAGAACCACTGAATTAGAATGAAACAAAAAAATTGGGGCTCCCGAAGTATGCGAACCAAGATGGCGGACATCGGAATGTATTATGTGTACTAGGTTAGGGTTATGCCATAATTTTAGGTATAAATACTACGGGAGGCTCTTGGCTAGTCTTCGAACTGATAATAGGACTAAAATAAGGAAAATTGGAAAAAAGTTATCACCTAACCCTAACCTGTTACCCATGTAACGTTTCGATGTCCGCCATCTTGGTTTGCATACTTCGGGAGCACCAAAAAATTGTTGAAATATTGAGCCCATAGGAGTCAGAAAAAGGTTCAAAACTACAATAGTTACGTCTACTTTCATTTTTAAGTGCATTAATTGCGAACAAATATCGACAACCAACAACTGGAACAAAAATTTAGAAAAATGGGTTGAAATATCGAGGCTCCTAGGATTTAGAAAAGGCTCAATGCAATAGTTTTGAGGTGGTGAAAATTTCCATCTTTCCATTAGTTGTAAAATATTCGACAACTAATAACAGAAACGAAAATTTAGAAAAACGATGCTTACGTGTACGGTTATCAAGTAGTAGCCTATCATCTTAAACCTCTCCACCAATGTTTGTGACATGAGAACTGTTGCAAATTAATCGTATCTTCCCTTCAGTCAGTGATAAATTTATTGAAAACTACTTTCAGATAATATAGAATGCCAGTTTCATTATGATAACTGCCCATAAATAGGGCACCAAAATCTTAAGTGCTTATGGACTCTAATGACCTTGTGCATATCCCTCCTTTATGCCAGTATTTCCCGACCTTTTTATGATACATTGTTTTCCTTGCCTATTTTGATACTTCTCTTCCTCCCTTACTGCGCATAGATACTTTTCGTCGTCCAGTTTTCAGTGGTTCATCAGCTGGCTATTAACGCAATGTACCCTCCCTACTGTTCTATCTCACAATAGTACATTCACAACTAAAGCACTGACTGCTTTACCTCGTTATCGAATGACTGTAAAGTTTCTGACATAGTTCGTGCAGTACCGAGACATACCGGAAATTACACCATACCGGCTGTAATAAAGATTTATTGATACATTTCAAGCAATACTACGTAATTGTTGACATATATATTCATAACACAAAAGAAGTTCGTAGTCGACATAAAATTATCCGCGCATAAAATTGATACTTTTTTGGCTTTAGGCAGAGTTCAAATCATCACAAAACTTAGATATGTAAAATGTCTAGATACGTATTCTGTTAATGCCCCACCAATGATAGAGAGGGCGACGATCTGATTGCCAGTGTGGTCGATAGGGGCGTAGCGAGTAATTTTCAAAGGGAGGAGGGGGGTATGAAATTCAGCGGGTCCGGAAATTCAAATTGTGTGTTTTCAAGAGTCTTGAGGGTTTAAAAAGCTTTTCAAGCAACGAAAATTTGCTAAAAATGCTTTTTTAGCATTTCAAGGGGGGGGGGGGGGTCCGAACTGTTAAAAAAATAGGAAGACTGTCGATTAGAAATTTATTTGAGTTGACCTGGATCCTCGTTCAAGGTTATTTAAGTCCACCATGCTGACAGCCGCATACAGGTTCATCTTCGGCCTAAAATATGAATACAGAATCAAATGAAATTTATAGAAAATGAAACAGGTGTAATTATCATATTGGCGCAGTAAATTCCAGGGAAGTAGCCAGAAATTTTCAAAGAGGAGAAGGGGCAGAAATTTATATTTGCCAATTTAGATCGAGACAGATAGCGGGTCCGGACGAACGCCGGAAAACTTGTGCTTTCATGAATCTTGAGTGTCTAAAAAACGTGTCAAGCTATGAAAAGTTGTTATGTATGATACAGAAAGATGCTTTAATTTTTTTTTACATTTCAAGAGGGGGGGGGGGGGTCGACCTCCAAGAACACCCCCCTGGTAAATTCAAAAGTAGCGTTTTTACTTTTTTCTAAATGTGGACTTTTTCGATTTATTGCCATTAGGATTAGAACATACATATTTATCCCGGGGAAGAGCGTATGAGACATTTTAATCATATGGCGAATCACGGCATTACTGCTTTGTGGCCCCCTTAGTGGGCCACGGGCCCCGACAGGGAACCACTGCTATAGTAGCTCCTTGGCCCGCGATGGCTATTTATAGAGTATCTTGTTCGGAGCGAGAAGCGTATAAAAAACGCGTATAATCGATAAAACCCTTTCTCCTCACTATTCTGGCCAGTGACGCATCACTGATTTTCGGTGTGTAAATGATTCTGACTGGTTACGCTTACCCTGTCAGCAAATTGGTTAACACCCTGATAATATGTAGATTCCCCGGCATCTGCTAATTTGTTATGTTCTTCAATCTTCGCCTTGTTCTGCAACCAAATGTTATGCCGTCTCTCCTCTTCTTCGGCGCTATCATACTTTTTGTCTGTGACGTAACAAAGAGTTGAAAGTTTTATTTATGTTCACAAAGGTTAAGTAATCGGGGGTTTCTGTTAATTCGAATGTGATACCGTGTCGGAACTTATTTTTCGAGCGTGTGTTTTTTTATTATATTTTACGTTTTTGACACATACGATGCGTTCAGTACGGAAACGGGTACATTTTTATGTCAGTATTGGTCATAGCAAAGTCTCGGATTCTTTTCTTAACTAAAAGTAGAAAGAGCAGTGAAAAAAGATTTGCAAATGTAGTCTGAGTAAGGTACCGGTAACTTAATTAATGTAAAATTAGTACTTATAGAAACGTTGTCGGTTGGTGTACTGATAGTTGCAAGTTTTCTCGAAGCAAGAAACCTATAGTGCTCAGCTAAAAGTGAGAAGCGTACTGATTGAAAAGGTAGGCTACAAGTTTACAATAGAACCAGGTGCGTAGCCAGAAATTCACAAAGGGAGGGGCAGGGTCTGAAATTTATATTTGCTGAGATAGATCGTAACAGCTAGCGGTCCCGCCGAACGCCGGAAAACGTGTGTTTTCATGTGGCTTGACGGTCTAAAAGCGTTTAAGCCTACGAAAATTGATATGTACGATACAGAAAGATGATTTTATTTTTTTTACATTTCAGAAGGGGGGTTTCGACCCCCAAAACCACCCCCCTGAATAGAACAGTTGCAACCACCACTAAATGTGGAAAAAAAAGTAAGCGAAATAACAGGCACCACTGAACTACCAAGCGCTACTCAAACTATAGATTCATGGTGGACTAAAAAGTTGAAGCAGGTCAAGTCAATGCGGTCAGGAAAACCTTCAAAAAATCTCACCAAATTTCACTTTCCATGCTTCCCAGTTTTTTTCCCATTCCTCCACTTTAGGCTTGTTTGACATGATAATAACGGAACGACTTCTGAGACTCAGAAAATTATCAATATAGTGTAACTAGACATAGAAATAGTTTATTTCAATATTTCCGAAAAAACACACAAATTTGGGGCGCTTCGGAGGTATGTGCACCAAGATGGCGCACAACCTGATAACCCTAACCTGGTACACATACTATGTTCAGGTTGTGCGTCATCTTGGTGCACATACTCCGGGAGCCCACAGATTTGGAAAATACTTGGGAATCGGATAAATCTAAATGTGAGATTCAGGGGATTCGTGAGAATCCCTTTTCTTATGCGCCCGTGAATAGATGTCCAAACACTGTTTGTGAATATTATTGCTAACTGAGGTCATGGCGCTCCCGAAATATGTGTGCCAAGATGGTGCACAACCTGAACTGTAATCTGGTACAAATACTATGTTCAGGTTGTGCGCCATCTTGGTACACATACTTCTGGAGCTCCCGAAAAATAACACTAGGACTTATTTTCGGGGGATGTCTTATATTTTCATTTATCAAAAACAAAATTACAAAGGAGAGAATAACGAGATTTCCAAATATGCAAAATATTAAAACCGACATACATTTACGTTCAATCAGCACGTTTTTATTCGAAATAACTGCAAAACATAGATTAATTATCAATCATCAAAACGTGTAGGAGAGATTTCTTGCTATCGGCTAGGTCAAAAACAAAATTTAGCGTTATTGACTAGGTCTTATTTTGAAGAGAGGGCGTATATTAAAATCATTTTTAAAATTCAGGTTAAGTCTCATTTTCAGGGTAGGTCTTATTTTCCGGGAAACACGGTATGTGCCGAAACTGGGAGCCCCGGGAAAATAACATGATAATACTTTCATAAGTAGCTGACTATTTTTAGAGGGTATTGGCCTCCAAAGCCACGAATTAGAGGAGATTGAGCCCAGTTGAGAGTGAGCTACCATCCTTGGATGGTAGATGTGATATTCCAGAAAAACACCCACGTTTTGAATAACAAATTAGTAATTATTTAGTTGGGTTTAGGTAGGAATGATTGAAAAATTTGAATTTCCGGTGCAATCGGCATTTTGTAACCCTAACTGGATAATTACCAATTTTTAGCGTTTACGGGGTGTTTTTTCGGCGTGGCTTAGTACGAAAGATCTACCACCCATTTCCCGGTATCAGTATGATATTTTACTACCTGTTTACTGGTAGCTCATTAATTTAACGCCAAGGGGTCCACGAAGACCAAGCAATGCATACTCGCCGCACTTTTAAAAATATAATCCAGAGGTTTTCAAGTTTTTTTATAAAAAAATTTGCAAAACAAGCTTTTGCGCAATAGACCAAAAATAAATTAGACTGATTTCTTAACAAAGATACGGAATACCACTGAATTGGCCTGAAGCTTCCGACACTATAGATAATTTTAGCGAAGTACTACGCTTTAATAAAGACCGATTGGTACAAAATGTTCCGGTACGATACAAAAAGTCTCAGAGGCACCACCGAAAAGTAATCTTTGCATATTGGAAGCTCCATATTTATACCCTACATAGTAAATTAACTAAATAACACAATATCTCCAAGAAGACGAATATGTGTCACTTCAACTTGTTTTAAGCTCACTAGCTAATATATTACACAATATCGTGCTGGTAAACAATTATTAAAACAAACAGCTGTACTGTATCGAGTAATGTTTACTGTGACCGGTAAATTGAGAGAGAATTCGAGAGAACAGTCAACCGTGCAATAAACATTTGTGACGCTTAAACGTGGTTGTGATTTCATAATTGTAAAGGAATTGAAACACACAATCTGTTTCTGACGTTAAGAGTCTTATGTTTCGAAACTACCAGGCAGATCGTAATATAGGGGGAAATAAGGGTGTAAGGGACTACGAAAACATGTTTTGACAGCATGAACAAAATGATACGAAACTATAGTTGTGATGCCATAGTATAGCATGTTTTCACCGGAGTTTCGAATTCTGAATTCCATGGAATTTATTCCGAAATCGCAGACTGACAACAATGGTGATGAGAAAGCTCAAAATGTTTTTTTGTTGTATAACGAAGTAATACGACGCTCGTTCCTTTTGCTCCGAACAAAGCCAGATAACAGTAATCACTGATATATAACATGATGTCGTGATGTCGGAGAATAGAATGTTTTCACCAGAGTTTCGCATTCTGAATTCCATGGAAATCAATCCGAAATCGCAGACTGACAACAATGGTGATGAAAAAGCTCAATATGTTTTTGTATGTTGTATATTGACGTAATGCGACGCTTACTCGCGCCTTTTGCTCCGAACAAAGCCGGATAACAGTAGCTAACTGGTATCTAACAATATCCTAACGAGAATATCGGTCGGAGACCGAAGACTTATCGATCGAAAGTTAGGGGATCCCCGAAACAGCGCTCTTACTCCATAGTGACACCTTCATCCCGTCCATCACTAATTAATTAATAACTCGCTAGTTATACGACATAATTCATCCAAAATTAATAGGCTTCTGGTCCGACATATGATGAATGCACATGCAAAATCTGGAGCAGATTCAATCTCGCTTTCGTGAAATATCGCGTGCATCTAACAGACAGACAAACAGACAAATACCTACCAACATACTTACCGATTAAAATCGATAAGTAATAAAAGGGTTCCCGTACATTTGAACCCGCGTACATTTGAACCCACGACAATTGCACCTGAATGCTATTGCACTTATAGAAATTTTTTTGGTTGAACCCATACTAACCCTAACCCATGTGTTTTAGCACCCGCATATAGATTGAACCCGCGGATATACACGTGGGTTCAAATGTACGGTCACCATCTTAAAGAATTGCTCCACACACGTACTTCGCTGTCGAAGTTATCCAAGGCATATGAACGCACATTTTCGTCTATCTCGTTTGGTTCATTTAGTAAAAGAATTGGTTATTGATGGCAAGCCAGAAAACGTCCGACTATAAGTAAATCGTTCAAGAGTGGAGCGAAATGGTGTTGGAAAAGGCATATGAATCGAAATCTATGAAAATGCTGAATTTTCTTATTATTATTTTAGGGGGGGGGGGGGGGGGGTGTCATGTGACTCATATTCATCTGGATGGATCGTGTGACGCATCGTGCTAATACGTAGGAATACGCTCGCCACCACACCTCTGATTCCATGTCTCTGAAAACAAATAACTGGCTAAATCATCCCATACCCGCCATGGACTGATAACAGGACGAGAGGCGGTTGTTCGTCAAAGGATTAAGCCGTCAACCCACCAACTAACCACCAGTAAGACGTAACTCAGTGATTAACTCAAATTAAAATTTTGAATCGCCGCCATCTTGTTTTTTATTTTGCCTATAAAGGTTGAGGTTAAATTCCTCAATTTTTGTAGTGAAGCTACATTTTTGCACTGCCATTTGACATATGGTACTTTCAATTCTAGTTAGTTATTGATGGAATAAATTTCTTATTGTGTGCGAACACTCATCTAACTGTTTGTGTATTGGATTCCATGTTTTCAGTAATTTATCTGATCTGGTGGACTCATTACAATAAAAAAAAACATGCAATTGAATATCTCTTGAGAGTACCCATGTACCAAGGCAAATACGGATTATAATTTTATTCCGGTTTTCTTTAAGGTTTCCAGTTGAACTTCGAATATTTTAGTCCTATTACGAGTTTGGGGACTGTATGTGATAGCCAAGTGAATATACCCCCTGCCCATATGTTTCAGTCCCTTTACACAACTTGATGTAAAGTAGGCGAACAAAATTAGTTACCTCCATATTGGTACACACACTTGGGGCACGCCCTTTTATTCGAGATTCGATTCGAAAACAATATTCGATTTAAAATTTTCAGGTATTCGAAAATGCCCAGAGCTACTCGCGACTCGTGGTTAAGGGACTTCCTGACTTTGCAAAAACTTCCACGAATTTCAATCAAATATTTATCATTCTAAACTCAACGTGACGTAATAATATCGTGAATGACGTCATGTCGAGGCATTGGAATTTTTATTTCAAGACAAAAATCCTGTTATCACTGTCCCATCGAGTCGTTTGTACAAAGCTCCGCCCCTAATGCAAAAATGCTAGATTTGAAAAGAACACCCTCGCCACGTTTCAAATAACAAATTAGCATTTATCTAGTTGGGGTTAGCAATGATTTAACAAAATTGATTTCTCGCGAAATTTGTATTCATAACCCAGAACCTAACTGGATAAATAATAATTTTCACATGCAATTGAAGGTACTCTCGAAGTATGCGAACAATATGGCCAACACCGAAACGTAGTATGTGTACCAGGTTAAGGTTGGGCCATAATTTTATTCCAATTTTCCTTATTTTAGTTCTATTGTGAGTTCGGGGACTAGCCGTGATTCCCGTAGTATTTGTACCTGAAATAATCGCTTAACCCTAACCTGGTACACCTACTACCTCCCGGTGTCCGCCATCTTGGTTCACATACTTCGTGAGTATCTGCATTATACGGATCATGTAAGACATGTACCCAATTGAATATCTTTTGAGTATTCGAGATTCGAAATAATATTCGATTCTAAAATCTTTAGGTATTTGAAAATGCCCAGCCCTACTCGGAGTTTAGAGACTTTTTCTCAATACTTGCCTTTGTCGTCCTGACTCTGCAAAACCTCTGTGGGGTTTCAATCACTTATTTATCATTTCTTAACTCAAAGTGACGTGGTAATACCGCAAATGACGTCATATCAATGCAATGAAGAATTTATTTGACGAGCGAAACGATTGGTGTGAATGAAAATGACAATAATACAATTTATTCTAGAATGACAAAGATTTTATTTCTTTTTTTGCTCACACACACAAAATGAAAGTAACATAGTTAAATGATATCCAACGTCTCCTTGAATCAAAAATAAATCTGACGTTCAAGCTTCTGGGATGATCTTTGTCAAGTGATTTTGGGGCTTGGAATCAGGGACGTAGCCAGAAATTTTCAAAGGGGGGGGAGGGGGGTTCTAAAACTTCTATTTGCCAAGTTGGATCGAAACAGTTAGCGGGTCCGGACGAACGCCGGAAAACTTGTGTTTTCATTAGTCTTGAGAGTCTAAAAAGCGTTTCAAGCCACGAAAAATCGCTATGTATGATACAGAAAAAGAATTAAATTTTTTTTACATTTTAAAAGGGGGGGAGGGGGGTCCGACCCAAAAAATAAAAACACCTTCTTGCTACGCCCCTGAATAGAGTATAGGATTTGAGATTATTCGTGTCCACTATCCAAACAGCCATATATTGATTCACCTTCAGCCTAAAATATGAATATATGGTATATAATAAAAATAATCGTTCTTGGTGAAGTGTTCGTACCAAGATGGCGCACAACCTGAACATAGTATGTGTACCAGGTCAGGATTGTTCAGGTTGTGCGTCATCTTGGTACGAATACCTCGGAGCGCATAAATCAATTGCTGTTCATTTCAAGGTGGTGTATTTTGTCGCTCCCGTAGTATGTGCAACAAGATGGCGGACACCTGTCATAGTATGTGTACCAGGTTGGTGTTAGATCTTAATTTTATTTCAATTTTCCTCATTTTAGTTCTATTACGAGTTCGGGGACTAGCCAAGTGACTCCCGTAGTATTTGTACCTGAAATTATGGCATAACCCTAACCTGGTACACATACTACGTTCCGGTGTCCGCCATCTTGTTGGAATACTACGGGAGTACCTGTATTTTTAAGTTACTGTATTTTACGGATGATATTGCGCACCGCCAATAATTTGCGGTGACTAGTGAAGCTGTTATAATGAATAAACAAATGGTCTTGGTCTGCCTAGAACGCAAAAGAAAAATGAATGTGTGAAATGAAGTGTTAAACTATTACACTCAACTTTGACGGGCCATATCGTGACGCGGGCCGTAATCCCCCCGCTTCTAATTTCGGCCCACGGTCAATCAATTTGGGAATCATTGTTTTAAATTATAGTCGCTCTGTACTTAACAATAACTGCTCACGCGGAGCTGTTAGAGCGAAAAGGAAAAACACGTACAAACAAAAACAGTGCCTCACCATAAACCTTTTTTATTAATATTTTGGCCCGTTACGGATCAGTGATTTTCGGTCGTGCAGGATTCTGATTGGTCACGCTTACCTTGTCAGCAAATTGGTTAATTCCCTGATAATATGTATGTTTCCCGGCATCTGCTTCCCTGTTGTGTTGTTCAATCTGCGCCTTATTCTGCAACCAAATGTTGTGCCGCCTCTCCTCTTCTTCAGCGGTTTCATAATTCCTTCCTGTGACGTAACAAAGAATTAAAACTTTTTTATTAGGTTTTTGAACCAGGGGCCAAAAATTTTGCCCACCTAGACTGGAGGGCCATGCGTGACGTAAAACGTTACATTTTATGAACAATATTTACAGTGTTACAAAAGCAAAAGTGGAATACAATAGGTCTCGCACAAAAACTAAATTTAATCGCAATCTCGACTAATTCCTTGAGCTATTTATTTTGCTAAAATATCAAAATTTGGGTTTAATATGGTTGTGGCAGCATCAGGCGTGCCAGATTGAATTACCAAACGGGCCGGATTTGGCCCGCGGGCGGTAGTTTGCCCATGTCAGAGTTAACCAGTTATTCGATTCAGATTCGAGTTGGGCAAAAAATCAATAAATCTCACCAAATTGTTCTTTCCATGCATCCCAATTCTTTTCCCATCTCTCTACTTTAGGCTTGGTATTAGTCGGACGGCTATTAACGGCTCCGATGCAGCAAAGTATCAATATAGTGTAACAATACACGGACATAGTTAATTTTGGTATCTGCTACAAAAGCACACAAACCAAAGGTAAATAATACTTTCAAGTACCGAATAACACGATGCGGTGCTCCCGAAGTATGCCAACCAAGATGGCGGACATCGGAACGTAACATGGGTAACAGGTTAGGGTTAGGCGATAACTTTTTTCCAATTTTGCTTATTTTAGTCCTATTATCAGTTCGAAGACTAGCCAAGAGCCTCCCGTAGTATTTATACCTAAAATTATGGCCTAACCCTAACCTAGTACACATGTTACTTTCCGATGTCCGCCATCTTGGTTCGCATACTTCGGGAGCCCCCACGATGCTATAAGTCAATAGCGTCAACGCAAAGTAATGCCCGCATATTGAAAGCACCATAATTTATAGCCTAAGTTCGCCGCTTAAATAACGCAATAAAGGCGGAATATTGATCATCACAACTTGTTTTCAAGCTTATTAGCTATTATATTAGAAATTTCCGCGCTGGTAAACAATTCCAATGCCAGACAGCTGTACCAAGAAATGTTTACTGCGAGTTGCAATTGCAGGAATAAAATAAAGAAATACACAAATAGAAGAGTGATTGACATTTGACAATTTTTCCTTCAATGTCGAGGAGAGCATTTGGAACATACGGTATTCTGGGAACAACATAATTTTTGTGCAAAACGTCCTAGATTTTCCGACACTTTTGGGTACAAACATAAGTTCATTTCGAGTGCAGACAAAATAAAATAATTCACTCCATTTTCGTTGAAGTAATCGAGAAATTGAGGGTTTCGTTTTTTTGTGGAACACGCTGTAAAATACTGTTTTAATATGAATCAGTTAAATATGCTGCTTAAGTTACTGTATTCGATAGTTTCAACGGACCCGTAAGCTGTTGTGATCTAATTTGGCAATTAAAAATTTCAACCCCCCATGTGAAATTTCCCGGTTCCACCCCTGGTCGGATTAACCAACTTGACTCGCGACTCGGGCTGCCCAACTAACCTTCTATCCAAAGTGACGTAATAATACCGTAAATGATGTCATTTGAATGCATTGAAGATTTTATTTGAAGATAAAAACGATTGGTTTTAATGAAAATTACAAGAAGGCAAAAAATGGTATATATTTTTCGGCTCACACACACAAAATGAAAGTAAGTTAAATGATATACAACGTCTCCTCAAATCAAGAATAAATTTAACGTTCAAGTTCTACATGAAGTTGAAATTTGTCGAGTGATTTTGTCGCTTGAAGCTTGGAAAAAACAGATGATTAGAGCCTAAAAGTGATGCTGTTGAAAATTCAGGAAATTTGACTTGTTTTTTTTGTGTCAGGCAGAGATATATACTCGAGTTGTAGAATATGTCATAACCGAACTAAAAAAAATATTGGAATATTCGAACAGTTGTCCAAATATTCGGAAATTCGAACTGCCGAATATGCAATAACCGAACTGTAAAAGACTCGAATATTCGAAAAGTTATAGTTAACGAATATTCAGAAATTCGAACTGAGGGTTATGGAAGAACCGAATTCAAATAGTCAAAAAGTTAGAATTGTCGAATATTCGAAACTCAAATAAATCACACTTAAGCAAGTCAAAAACAAGTCAAATTTACACGTTTTTAACAGCACCACTCTAAGTACCTATTATCTGTGGCCCAAGCTTAAACGAGCATATTCACAGGATAACTCACTCAGTTGTAGAAGCATTGGATATTGCACTTGTTGACCGCTTGACTTGCTTAAAATAAATATAAAATGAAAAAAAAATTTTTTTTGACAAGCATTTTGATACTATTAAAAAAGTTCACAAAATTTAATGCCATCCAAAATGCATAGTAAGACATGCACCACTGTAAAGCAATGCTGTGCTTGTGCATGTGTTACTATGCATTCGCCCGAAAACACCAAAAATGTATTGAAAATAACATTAAATTTAATAACATCCAAAATGCATAGTAGGACATGCACAACTGTAAGGTAATGCTGTACATGTCTTACTATGCATTCGCCCGAAAACACCAAAAAACTATTGAAAAAAACATTGAATTTAATAACATCCAAAATGCATAGTAAGACATGCACAACTGTAAAGTAATGCTGTACATGTCTTACTATGCATTCGCCCGAAAACACCAAAAAACTATTGAAAAAAACATTAAATTTAATAACATCCAAAATGCATAGTAAGACATGGACAACTGTAAAGTGATGCTGTACATGTCTTACTATGCATTCGCCCGAAAATACCAAAAAACTATTGAAAAAAACATTAAATTTAATAACATCCAAAATGCATAGTAAGACATGGACAACTGTAAAGTAATGCTGTACATGTCTTACTATTCATTCGCCCGAAAACACCAAAAAACTATTGAAAAAAAACGTTAAATTTAATAACATCCAAAATGCATAGTAAGACATGCACAACTGTAAAGCAATGCTGTGCATGTGTTACTATACTGTAAATTTTCTGAATTTTTTCATAGTATTGAAAAGCTTGTATAAGTTTAAAACGTAAAACTAAAAAATTGACAAAAGAATGATATTTATGGGTTATGATTTTTTATAATTATGCATTTTTATTCATATTCAATTCTTTGATTAAAGTTATATTATTAATGTAAAACATCTAGGTACTGTCGTTTTGAGGATTTATGGTCACAAAAGTTTCAAGGTTTTTATTGAACCAATTTGGATGAATATGACAAAAATGTATTGGAATAAAAGCATAAGGGAGTTTTGTAATTCATGAATTTTATGAACATTTAAATTTCTCCGCAATGTATTGCCACTATGGGGTTAAGAGCAATACAAATAGCAATACTTTTCATTTATGTCTATACGACCAATTAATTAAAAAAATCGTAAAATTACCTATAAATTGAAGTCAATACTGAAAAATTAGCATAAAAATTATTTTATAATCATATGTTTGATGCTTTCACTGGTCATTATCAGTCAGAACATGCATGGCCCGCTGTTGTAAAGCGCCTATTGGGCAAGAAACATCTTTGGCCATGCCTCAAATGACTAGTTTTACAGGAACAGCACCGATTTAACATGCATAGTGTAAGTGAATATATTTGGAAGCTAGAATGAAATAATGCCAAAAAATTATCGCCCGTTTTGAGGAAATTCCAAAAAATGAGACCTGATCGGGAGACAATATATAATAAAACCTCAAACTTTTAAGATATATCAAATATTATCGCCCGTTTCGAGGACAGATTGATAAAATAGATCCCAAAGTTCGGACAGATAATTTTTCGACTCAAAAGATATAATAAAACGAAAAGAAATATAATAAAACGATCGTATATTCGATTTTCATTAAATATTTACAAGCATAAAACATCAATTTTACTAAACAGCAAAATAATCACATAGGAGACGAAATATTGAGTTATTGCACCATTTCCGAGAAAGTACATTTCCGCGATTTTTCGCGCTAATATACATTCTACATTTTACAGTAATTCCCATCTTTAGGTTGGTAGTACACTACATAAAAACGCGTTTTTTACTAACATTTTCATGTTATTCAATTTATCAGCTAAAGCTAAATAATATAAGAACAACCCAAGAATGATGTAAAAATTCCGTATTTCAGCAGTGTCTAGGCAAGATTTAGCTTTATTAATGAAAAAATAGATTACAAACTTTTGAAAAAAGCGTAAAATAATCTGATATTTGATCGTATAGTATTGAATGTAAGATTATTTTATATTACTTCTATTTTTTCATAAAAATAATAAAATTCTACCTTTTCTGTTTTTAGGTAAGCACAAAATAATCTTGAAAATATAATTTCTCGGAAAATGAATATACTTATTAAATCATTTCAGTAACACTGTAATAGGTAGGAATGCCATCAAAAATTTCAAAAAAAAGTTCAAAACAATTATAATTATCAAAATATGAGCAGCAAATTTAGCTAGTAAAAAATTTAAAACAGCCAAGGATAAACCGCACATAAATAATTGATATTTCTACGGCCCATCCATGGGGAATAGATAAAAATTTTCAACCAGTTTCGTGAAGAATTAAGAAAAGCTCTTAAATGTCCAATTTGAGTCAACCCTCCGCCATCTTTTGTCCATTTTAGACAGTCGGATAGCTGGCTTGGGTAGCAATTCCGCACATGTTGTTGGAGTTACGCGCCATCATGATGTAGCCTTCCATTCCCCACATTTCACCCCAGCTGCAAAAATGAAAATATATGTTAGTACTATTAATTACTTTTTATATCAGTCAATTGGGGGGAAAGAGATGAAATCGAATTGTTCATGTCGTCATAGAGGTATACTAGATTTGCACTACGCATGAAATGAAACATAATATATCATTGGAAGTTAATTCAAATATCCATCTATATTTATTGAACACTAGTTAGACCTAAGCGCTAAGCTCTAGTTGTTGGTGTTGATGGGTTAAATCGTTTTTTTTTTTCGCAACGAATGGACGAATCGATTTCGAATATTCAGTATGTGAAGATGGGAAACTTCGTAATATTTTTATTAATTATCCCCGAGTGCTGCAAGTGCTTATGCGTCATGTTAATTCCAATTCCCACCTATCCAATCTCAACTTTTGTTTCGATTTTTAAGGTATACGCGATGGCGCTCAAGAAGTGTGTGTACCAATATGGAAGTAACTAATTGTGTTGACCTGCTTTACATCAAGTTGTGTAAAGGGACTGAAACCTATGGGCAGGGGGTATATTCACTTGGCTAACACAGACAGTCCCCGAACTCGTAATAGAACAAAAATAAGGAAAATCGGGATAAAATTATGCGAAAACCCTAACCTGGTACACACACTACGGGGTACCTACGCGAGGGATTAGACACATCACAGTTGGTTTAAACACTAACGCAATTATTTACATGCCGTAAAACCCTACAACAACTCACAAGAACAATTTTGAGTGAGTGCGCATAGCCTTTGGCGTTCCTGTAACTTTGCTCAGAGCTGAGTTTCCTTTACTTCCGAGTGAGTACCCGTAAATTTGCTCAGAGACGAGTCTCCTTTACTTCTAAGTAAGTCCCTGAAATTTTGCTCACAGTGTATCCGTCTTCACTTCTGAGTGAGTGGCCGTGAATTTGCTCAGAGATGAGTTTCCTTTACGTTTAAGCGAGTTTCCCTAACTTTGCTCAAATGAGTCTCTTTCACTACTGAGTGAGTGCCCGTAAATTTGCTCAGAGATGAGTCTTCTTTACTTCTGAATAAGTGCCGTGAATTTGCTCAGAGATGAGTTTCCATTACTTCTGAGTGAGTTTCCCTAACTTTGCTCAAAAGAGTTCCCTTTACTTTAGATATGTGCGCGTGACTTCAAGTAAATACCCTTCAACAAAATTGTTTCTAATATCCACCTGTTCTTAACCAGCCAGTAGTCTTTTCCCATCTCAGTACCGTAACCAACTGCCAATACACCATGATCAAGCTTGGTTGAGCTGCATTCCATGCTGGTGTAAACGCCTGAAGAATAAAACATAAAATTGACTTTAGATTGGGATCGAACGTGTCTAAGTTGTAACATTGCTATACGCCTTACATGAGCAAACTATGGCCCGCGGGCCGAATCCGGCCCGTTGGGTAGTTCAATCTGGCCCGCCTGATGCTGCCACAATCAAATTAAAACCAAATTTTGATCTTAACCTATGAAATGGCAGAAGGAATTTGTCGAAATTTCGATTAAATTTAGTTTTGTCACGAGGCTCATAGACTTTTGTAACAATGTAAATATTTTTCACAAAATGTAACGTTTTACGTCACACTTACATGGTCCGTCAGTATAGGTGGGTAAAATTTTTGGCCCCTGATTCAAAAACCGCGCCCATCCCTGTTCTACGCCCTCATTCCGAAGACGGCTTCACTTGGTCCCCGACCCAGCAGAAATTTTGCTTTGTGTTTGCTGCAGTATTACTATTTTTCTTTAGTTATTGGTTATTCCTTTAATTCTTTTTATACACAAATTGTGAACTATGTAAATTCACTGTGATTTATTTAATTCTTTAACTGTTATGAATTTATTCTTATTTTGCTCTCATTTGTTGGCTTTTCATTTTTAAACGTGGCGCGGCGCATAAAAAATGATAAAAATGACGTATTTTATTGAAGTCACTGAAATGTAAGGACCCATAATTGGTGGAAGTCTGTTTTCTTCCCAATTCGGAAACTAGAATTCGGTTGGGAACCGAAGACCTATCGATCGAAGGTTAGGGGATCCCCCAAAACAGTGGTCTTACTCCATATTGACACCATGTGTCCCATCACTAATTAATTAATAACTCGCTAATTATACGACATAATCCATCCAAAATGAATAGGATTCTGATCCGAGCTAAGATGAATGCACATGCAAAATTTGGAGCAGATTGAACCTCGCTTTCGTGAGATATCGCGTGCATCTAACACACAGACATACAGACATACCTATCAACATACTTACCGATCAAGATCGATAAGTAACAAATTAGGTAAGCGGTGCCGTTTCATAAAGATTCCATTCCTCTCAATAAATAGCTTCTCACCAGTAGATAAATTAACACAACCTTGCTAATTGTGAAAGGCGTGAAAAAAGTCGTCGTATAAAAATAAAAAGGTACTTGCCAGATTTATACAACTGGAATGAAGAGTGTCCAGCATCAATGGCGACAGAAATTGGACCGACTCTCATTACAGCGCTCTTCAAAGACATCTCGTCACCGTGAGCAATGTCGACACATCCAGTAATGGTGGCACCGATGTTCATTTTGTTGAATTTGCACATCGTTTCGTCCTGAAATGAAAATGAAAGATCAAAATTTTTCGTCCGGAAAGTTTGCTAGAAGAAGTAAAAGTAAAATCAGCTTTGCGGCTGACATGGCCACAAGAGCAAAAACGTTATGTTTTATTAACCACGTGATCGCCCTTTTGAACATAAAGTGTTGGATTAGGATTTTAAAATGAGGAAAAAATGTGAGTGTTGACAAGGACCTAAATGGCTTGGCGGGCAGGTTGTGTCCATCAGGCCGCTAGAGGGGTGGTTTTGAAGGTCGGACCAACCCCCTTGGAATGTAGAAAAAATCAATTTTTCGCTGTTTCGATCTAACTTGGCAAATAGAGATTTCAGACCCGCCTATTGAAAATTGCACACCCGTGATATTATAGAGACTCGATAAAACCGAAATTTCTTTTCAAAAATCTCCTCACCTTTGCCATGTATGGATAAGAGGACTCCGTATCAACACCACCATTCATGACGATGTATTTGAAGGCGTTGTCCATTAGTCCACCATGACAGCCGTGGTCACCTTCTGGGGTGCTGCAGTCTATCAAGTTCTGTTCGCTGAGAGAAACGAGCATGCCGGTCTTTTTGAAGTGCTGGCCTTCGATTGACCCAGTCTGTGTAGTAAATTGAATGTTATTGAAATTCTAGTACATGATGCGCGTTTTTTTAATTCTATTTAGGTATGTTTATCATATGGAAGTTTTGGCTTGTGTGATGCGTTGTGGTCGACCCAACTATATCGCGTCGGAAAGATTCCGGATTTAAAATGTCATGCTCGCGACCTTCCCCAAGAGGTTCAAAGTTAGATTGGCAATGCCTAACTGAAGAGATTCCAATTCTTTCATAAATTGTAGTCATTTAATATCAGAGACTTTTTGTCTAAATTCTGTTTTAAGGTGGGGGGAAGGGTGTCACTTCTAAATTATTGAATTTTCAGAATGCCAACCTTTTTATTAGCATTGGTAATATAATGAAAATAAATAAAAGCGGGATCGTAATCCATCCACAGACTTACAGTACTGAACGCCCAGCAAGAGCCGCATTGCAATTGGTTCTTGACGGGTGTGACGTAGCCTTTGGTTCTCCAATCAACGGTGTCATCAGCTCTTGGATCGCTCATTTCATACGTCATGTTGCAGTAACTCATCTGATTGGCTGGTCTAGTCACGTGACCGAGAACAAGGCTTCGCCATTCGTCTTCGTCCTAAAATATAGAAATTTGAAAATATAAAATAACGTTGAAGTTTACACGTATATAGATAAGCAAAGAGAACTTGCTATAAGCAAAGCCACTCAGGACTCAGGAGTAGAACAGATTCATCTTTGAGTAAATTTACGAACAACCACTGAAATGCCAATATCTCAGCACACTCACTCATAAGGCTGGGCATTTCGAATCGAATATTCGAATCGGTTCAGAGCGGGATATCGAATCGCCGCCATCTTGTTTTTTCGAAAATATTCGATTCGATCCTGAAATCATCAGGTATTCGAAAATGCCCAACCCTACTCATTCAAAAGTGAGCCGACTCATCTCTGAGCAAAGTTATGCATACGCACTCCGGAGTAAAGAAGACTCATCTCAGAGCAAAGTTATGCGTACGCACTCAGAAGTAAATGAGACTCATTTTTACAGTGAATTACACAATGCTGATGTCGTTGAAAAAAAATTTTTTTGGGGGGGTAAATGCTCATTCAAAACGTAATCGAATAGACAAAAATGTACCCCATTTTCTTTAGTCTTGTCAAGTTATACAGGGATGTGCAAAATTTAATTTAAAAGAGCCAGATACAGATAACTGAGTTAAACCGCGGGCCACATCTTTATTTAACATAGGCTTTAAAAATTTTGGTTATTGATATTATGACATGCGTTGTTGTTCACTTTGCACAAGCTGACTGTTGGGGCATTGTAACGTCATAGGCATAGATAATAAATTGTAATCAGGTATAACTTTGTAACGCAAAGGGATTGGAATTACTCGCACGCATGCCAGATTCAACTAAATTGAAATATCCGGTGGGCCCTCGAATTTTTTCCTTGTGGGCCGCAGGGGGCACACCCCCGAGTTAGACAAACATCTACCGAAATTTTCAAGCTTGTCCATGGGACATATTTTTTCTGTCCCATTCCCATCCCATGGGATTACCATTAGAAGAAAATTCAATAAAAATTTAGGTTTAGCGTCCACTAAATAGGACAACATGTACGGAGAGACAAACAAAACAGCAAAATTTACCGCCTAACCCTAACCTTATATTTGTAAATATTATAAATGTGTCCATCAGCCCCTTCACGAAGTATATTGTTAATGCTGAATATATTTTGTTCTTTACAGATAAGAAGAATGATAAGCTCAAATATATGGATAAGAAGTTCATAACAAAATGTTTTACCATCATTTCCCCGTAAATCATACGGTTTTCGTGTCCCATGGAAAATACAAATTTGTGCTGTCCCATCCAATCCCATGGACAAGCCTGGACATTTCTATCTCGAGGATTCAATTAGAAGAGTCAAGTGATTTTAATACTCTGATTGGTTGTAGTGAAGCCAACAATATTTTTATTCGAATTTATCCGAACCAAATTCGAATCAGCGAATTGATTTAGAGTTCATGAGTCCCATTTAGCTTTTGTTATTTGTTCGATCATTAGAACCGAACTGCGATCGAACTCATCATATGAGCGAACTGATATATATTCTATATTCTATTTTGTTCGATAATTAGAACCGAATTCGAACTCACCATATGACTTACCATATGAGCGAACTGATATATATTCTATATTCTATTTTGTTCGATAATTAGAACCGAATTCGAACTCACCATATGAGCGAACTAATTTATATTCTATATTCTATTTTGTTCGATAATTAGAACCGAATTCGAACTCACCATATGAGCGAACTAATTTATATTCTATATTCTATTTTGTTCGATAATTAGAACCGAATTCGAACTCACCATATCAGCGAACTGATTCATTCCAAGTCTGTAGGTATGGATTCCATTATCTGCTTCCATGTTATGATCAACAACTTTCTTCAAATTCTTTTCCCAGATATATTGCCTTTTGTTTTCTTCTTCGTACGAGTACGATTTCCCTGTACCGAAAATATTAGTGACGTCATAATGAAAATTGTTGATGACGTCAGTATACATTTGACAGAATGTATAAATTTTTGAAAAATTTTGATTTTCACGTGAGCTTTAGATTACGATTTTTCTGTAGCGAAAATTTGATGACGTCATAGAAAATGTTAGTGACGCTAGTACACAAATGACGTCATCAATATATTATTTGTTTTAATTTCACATCTTCGAGTAAACTTTAGATTTTCCATGTAGCGAAAAGGTTAAGTGTAGTGAAGTGCTTGGACGATTTTAAATCGCGGCGCTGACATATTTAGGTTTAATGCGCTACCCATCATATTAGATTTTACAGAAAAAAGCTGAAAAGCATATGGATGACAAAATCTATATTACAACATATTCCGAACTGATTTATTCATGTTAAACTTGAAATAATTGACTGTTTCCTTTTAAAGAATTGTTTGAACTGATCAATAAATGGTAGCAAGAGTCATATAACTCTACAGATATTTAGGATTCACACAGTTATATACAGTGTTCCCTCTAAGGTGTGAGCGTGTACGCGCGCACACAGCTTTCAGAGGCTGCGCACACACATAGATTTACTGCGCACTGAGGTAGTTCGATGTAATGTAATAATGTGCTCGGTTGGCAGGTTGAGAAAGTTTGTTGTTGGCCCACCCATTAACCGGTTAGAACGCCAAATTTTCTTCATTGGTTTTTGCACAAATATTAGTCATTTCCAAAAAAGTGCGCACACACCAAAATTTCTGCTACACATACTACAAAAAATTAGAGGGAACAATGGTTATATATCTCCACAACATCACTCAGTGTTTACACGAGAAATGAAAAAAACATTTTGAGGTTACACTCACAAAAATTAAGTGCTCCCATTTTATGATTTCCTTAATTTGAATCGATCAATTCAATTAGGAGAAACTGAGTATATAATTCTACAAAACCTTTTTAGTAATTAAGCCAAAGGTGTGCCAATCTTTAATACAGGAGGGCCAAATAGAAATAACTGGGTGAAACCGCGGGCCGCACCTTAACATACAGACTCTCTAGAATTTGCAGGCACAAAAATTTTGGTTGTTGATCTTGTGACATGTGTTGTTTGCAAAAGCTAACTGTTGAGGCATTGTAACGTCATAAACATAGAAAATAAATTGGACTCAGGTAAAAGCTTCACAAAGGGATTGGAATTACTTGCAAGTACCAAATTGAAGTAAAAACTCGTTTCGCGGGACGCACACGATTATAAATTGGCTCTTCTCAGCGGGCCACACAATTTTTTTTTGAGGGCCGTATTTGGCCCGCAGGCCGCATCTTGCACACCCCTGAATTATCTCTAGATTTCGATACAGAGGGTACTAAGATAGTGTGCTTTGAACTTAGAGTAATTTAACTTGTTTAAATCCAACTTCGGATCAGTATGTTTCAGTCGCCACAAGGATGCTTTAACGATATAAAATTAACAAATAAAAATGAAAGAGATTATGTTTTTCCCATTTGTCTATTTATACATGAGGGGTTCCCATATACAGATTCGCGACCCAAATTTTTTTACTGTAATTAAAATGATGGTTTGAAACATTTAAACTGGTTTATAGGCGCTAATTACCAAAACCACTCTCGAAAAAAGTACCAATTATTTTGCACAGATAGAGTATATAGGGGGAATTTTCCGGCGATCATAAGTCGGGGAAACATTGCTAGTGTCAATAATAGTCTTAATGTCGATATCTAATTACATGTTTACCAAATGCTTGGTTCGTGAAAAATTTGAAAAAGTAGTTGCGGACGACTGCTTTACATACCCGTATAAATTAATTACACAAGCAAAAATTCAGTGTTCACTTACCATGTTCGCCTTTCCACGCTTCCCATTCGGACTGGAAAAGTCTGCTTGCGGAGACTGCGGCAAAGCAGACGGTGAGAATCATAAAAATCTTCATTTTTTTTCTCTTTTCCGATTTATCGACAAAAAGTATTTAGTAATTTATAAACTGCTGATGCAATGAAAAATTAAAATGAATGGCTTACGAAGCAACTAAAAGGTGAAATTAAAATTTCTCTTTTTTCGTATGCGGCGTTTATTTACACTTCAAAAAAAACGGTAAAATGTTATCACATTTCATAGAAAATAAATTTTATGGAACACACAGAAAATCCGGGTGGAATTCATTGTCGTACCAGACATAAGAGAACCATAGAATAACAAATTACAATTACTATAAAATCCAATAAAATTTATTGAATTTTTAACAGTGTAATATTGTCATAAAAGTGCGTACTTTGGTACTCCAGTAGTGTGCGTACCAGGTTGGGATTCAACCTGATTTTATTCCGATTGCCCTTATTTTAGTTCCATTGCAAATTCGGGGACTACCTGTGTTAGCCAAGTGAATATACCCCCTGATTATAGGTTTCAGTCCCTTTACACAACTTGATGTAAAGTAGGCGAACAAAATTAGTTACCTGCGTATTGGTACACACACTTCTGGAGCGCCCGTACTGTAATAAAACAATATACGTCGTTTTTGAAATGCATATGCATCTGTCACACAGACAGCGGTGAATTCCACCATGCTATTTGTTGGCAACGTCATATCCCTAAGTGTGTTGGAGTAATACAATTACAGTCCAATGCCCACACGGGCAAAATCCGGTCAGTTGGTAATTCAACATGGCCCGCCTGATGATGCCACAACCAAACTAAAACCAAATTTTGATGTTTTAGCTGAAAATAGCTCAAGAAATTTGTTGAGATTGCGATTAAATTTTATTTTGGAATGAGTCGTATTATTTTCCAATTTTGCTTTTGTATCAGTGTAAATATTGTTGATGAAATGTAAGTTTTCATGTCACGCTTACATGGCCTACCAGTCAAGTCCCCCCCCCCACAGACCCCCCACCGCGACTAAACTTCTCCTCTTTTTTAATAGGCGGTGGAAACTTCTATTTTCCGTATAACAATTTTTCAGCGCGAAGCACCAAAACCATGAAAATACAATAGTTTGTTAATCAAAAAACTAGTAAAACCATAAAACCTGCATTCAATTCCCAACACAAAAGCACCACACATAATTAAAACCCTAAACTATAACTAACAACCTTTTAGACAAAGAGTCGCTGTCTCTTTAAAAACTTGGTGTCTCGTCGTTCCATCCCTTGTGGTATGCAGTTTGATAAGAGAGTCGCTTTGTTTTATTACCGGTGCAAGTCGCGGATCGGTTTAATGCCGTTTTATCGCATTAAGTAAACTATTTGTGCGATGTTGGAACAAACACTATCATGTGACGGGATTTATGTATGCTGCAAGAAAATAACAAAATTTTGAGTCGAATTTCAACGTCATTTGGAGCGAGTGAACTGCATGAGATAGTTTGAGTCATTTGCGCGAAACCTTAGGGGTTATCTCGCTCCCTATACGTCAAAGGGTGGGTCTGCGTCGGTTCAAGACAACAGACCTGCCTACTAGGCCGGAGAATTTATGATTTTAACGTCATTTGGTGCAAAAGTAATGCCTGATCTAATTTGAATCATTGTGGGAAATTGACGTTAACACAGACTTTCATGTTTTGGAGACGTTAACAAAACTTTATGTTCACATGGGCCGCAAGTCTAGGTAAGCAAAATATTTGTCCTTTAGTCCAAAATCCTTGCCTGCCTCTGTTATAGAGGTATTTTATTACAGTATATAGTGTTAACGCGGAAAGAAAATACCATCAAATATTTTTTCTGAACAGCATTCTTCTAAGCGCAAACGGATAGGATTCACATGAGTACTTGATCCGGTTTGTGCCATTTGCGAGAAATATTATTTGCGCGAGTTTAATTTTTAGGACTGTACGACACCCAACCATGCCTGGAATCCAACTTTGAAGAATCAACTTTAAACGCAGAATTTTCGCGCTAATGGATTCATACTGATTTTGCTCCAAATCATGTGATATAATTAATATACACTTTTGAAAACAGCGTAAAATTATGCCAAATTTTTACGTAATTCAATCTTTGTGTGATTACTGTGTCATATAAATCACGTGAAAACAAAAAAATGCAAACTCATTTCTCTATTTGAATTCATGCAAAAATGCAAAGACATGCTTATTGTAAAGGTATCCTTAGGCCAAGCACATGACAAACGTAATTTTTTAGAGAATCTTATATTTTTATTATAATCCATTTTCACATTTATCTGTGTTTTATATCTGGCCGGGTCTGTTTTATGCAATCCATTTAAATGCCTTTTGCAAACGTTGTAAAATCGTCTATGACGACATAACCGGTGGTAAGCCGATATCGCTTAGTCATTATGAGTGCAAAAATCTATATACTGGGTTGTAAATTCTTGCAAGACAAAAAGGCGAATGTTAAAAATCTTAAAAAAGCTGTATTCACCAAATTAAATATGCCGGGTTGCGCCGTTCTAACTCCCTATTTTTTTTCTATGCCTTTATTCTAGTGCATCCATATGTGTATAATGCAAGGATGTTGTAGCAGGAATAAACATGACCATACTATGCAATTCAAAAGTCCTGCTACACACTAACACAAATGTATCTCTGTAACGTTTCCTATGACCAAAGTCAAACTTTACAATGCTGCTGTAGACTGCTTGTCTGAGGAAGTCTGATCTTCACCAAAGTATGTCAATAAAAAGTTACATGAGTTTAAAAACCAAAAATATAAGTTTATCTCGATTTCATCAAAACAACTTTTCTATGTTTTCCCTTTTTGGATTCAAGCCGTTTTTACGTTGAATTCCATTTCCTTTTTTGTGCCTATTTTCACATCAAATTTGTAAGAAACCCTTGAGATCATTTTTTAGATACTCCAGAAGTATGTGCACCAAGATGGCGGACACTGGAATGTCGTATGCGTACCAGGTAAGGGTTAGGCCATAATTTCAGGTACACATGCTACTGAAGTGACTAGTCCCCGAACTCGTAATAGACTAAAATAAGGAAAATTGAAATAAAATTATGGCCTAACCCTGACCTGGTACACGTACGACGTTCCTGTGTCCGCTATCGTGCACATACTTCTGGCGCGACATTTTTTAACCCAATGAGAATATATTTTTGAGTATTTGGTAAATGCAAGATCACGCGCACTCGCTCAGAATAAAAGGAACAGACTCTTATCTGAGGTCTGAGAAAATTGTCGGGCGAACACTGAAATGCCAAGAGAAATGTACACTCACTCAAGAGTTAAGAAGATTCTTCACTGAGCAATTTACGTTCAACAACTGGAACGTATATTTTTTGCGGTCGTTTTAAATTTTCGAGAAATACTTCGACAGAACGTCACGCCAAAGAGTTTAAATTGGTGGAAAATCTTTATTTTATTAAAATGAGTGAATTTTTTGTACAAAGTCCTCGCAACTAACGCTAAAATTACTAATTGTCCAGTTCGGGTTGGGTTTTGAAATGATTTGCAAATTCGAATTTTCAGTGCAATCTGCATTTCTAGGCACACTATCTCTAACGGGATAATTACTATGCGCACCAAGATGTCGCACAACCTGAACCCTAACCTGGTACACAACCTGAGTTCAGGTTGTGCACCATCTTGGTGCGCATACTTCAGGAGGTCCCTAATTTTTCTATTTTGAGCGGAGGGCGGGGGTGTTTATTTGGCAGGGACTCTACACAAAAGTGCAAAAAATCAAATAGAATTAACGTGCGAAAAGCAAGTGGCCACTGAATTGCATATAGTGAAGGAGCACAAAACGCGAAAAAACGAAAAAAAAAACGCTCAGAACTCGAGTATACTGCTCAAATCAATTTTCGTTGCACATTAAGCCTACAAAATTATAGTTAACACTACATATTTCTTAACAGTCATCCCTCGTCCTGTTTTCTTTATCTAACTGACTCGGCAAAATACCCTATTTGGGAACAAATATCGTGTCGAACAAAGGTTGACTCGCTGTGTTTACCCAATGCATTGATGACATTTTAATTGAGTCCCGTGATTATGAGGGGGCGTATACATGACCCTTATATGACCCCGGAACAAGGAAGCATTGCTCAAATATATGGTCTATAACAGTAGTTCCCAAAGTTGATTGACTGCGGGCCAAAATTAGAAGCGGAATGATATTTGCGGGCCTGTAGAGTGGAACGCCCGTCAGGGGCCGATACCGGGCTATATTAAATCATTACGAGGGCCGTAAATAGCCCGCGTGCCGCGGTTTCCACTAGAATCCACTAGTGTATAATGTCCCGCATCGGTACCGGTACTGAAATGCCTCAACTGAGCACGGAGTTTTTTGAAAAGTTGATTGATATTGTGACGGAATGAAACAGTTTTGCTTTTTAATTAAGATTTAAAAAACCAAATTTCAGTAAGACTCAAAAAAATGTGAAAAAAAAAAGTTAATTTTATTCCTCTTGATAATTTGGCGCCACACGAGCAAAAAGTTTTGAAATCCATTTTTTTGCACTACATTGTCACTTCGGGATCAAAACTATTTCACGCGCAAACGTGAATTATTGCGGAGTCAGCAATATTTGATTTTCAAACCCTGATCACGTGATGCATGCATGACTTTGCAAGCAAGCGCTGTGATTTAGCCAAGCTACTCACTGGTGCGCCCTAAGTGTATGTAGCGTGTATAAATGGTATTCGTTCACGGTCGCCATTCATGCTTTATTAAGAATCCCTTATCATTTCTTGAATATCGTGAAACAGTTATATAAGAGGTTTTAATGTACCAGTCAACGACACCGCCAAATTTTGATACTCAGAAATCGAGTGTCGCAGTTGGAGTTATCGTGTTCGCGCGAATTGCTTCATTCGGTGTGGTCACCCGTAACTTATCTCAGAGATGAGCTAGCATCCTTTATTTCTGAGTTAGTGCACATATCTCTTGGATTTTCCGTGTTGCTCGTAACTTTGCTTGAAGAAGAGCCATCTTTACTTCTAAGTGAGTGCGGCGTAACTTGCTTTGATCTAATTCTTTATAAAAACGTAACACGGCATTAAGAATAGTAATCAGAAA